ACAGAGCTGTACACGCTACTTCATCCCACTTTCCTTCTGCCAGAACACATCCCAAAGGGCTCTTTTTCACTCCACCTCCGCTTGGTTCTCTCCCGTTCTCAGCTCGTCACCCGTCCCGCATCCCTCGTTGTCCCCCGCGGGACCGCGGGTCAGAGCTCCGCACTCGCTCCGCAGTGACACCGCGCCCCGCTCACCTCACCCACTCGCCAGGAGTTTCAAAGCAACTACGCGTCAATATGCAAAATCAGATCCCGAAGTCAGTATCAGTGCCGACCGTCAAAGTGCTATCCATGCCCACCAAACCAACGTCACTTCAGATCAAGTGGCTAGTATTAATCCAGTATACAACTCCACACCAGCGCCCAACAACTCCACACCAGCGCCCAACAACTCCACACCAGCGTATACTTCCTGGTATACAAATCCAATCCAACATATACATGCCATTAAATTACTTAATCCTGTATCTGGTACCCTAAGTAGAACATCTTCTACATTTTATGGGTACCCCAAAACCAATGGTGCACTCCGAAACCAGCGGTGTACTCCCAAACCAAACTCCCCCCCAAAATACCTTTCTATAGATGGTCTCCTTCTGCTCCCGCAGCGATTTGAGTGAAGCGAGGAGTCCCTCCGGGAACTTTCTCAGCAGATCCTGCAGCCGGGTAGAGGTGTCCCACCTGGGTCTTCAAAACTAACGCGGAAAGGCCCAATAACAGAAGTTATTGAGCAGGTATTCTTTATTACGGCGCCGGGCACGTACGGGATATCTCCTCCCAATACCCACATGCGGGGTGATGGGGAAACTGGCACATACGGGTTGCCTACATGCATATTCATGGCTTCATTAACGCAAGTCCCTGCCCAGTTCACATGCGCATTGCAGCTCCCAGGTGGTCCTCAGGTGCACTCTGGTGGTATCCTGGAGGAAGGCTCCAAGTCTTCCTCGGCTACTTTTAACCTCTTCTTCTTCTCGGTGCCTTGGAAACAGCATCAACCAATTCCCGCAGCTTGCACATCTCCCCTTCCGGACAGACCAAAAATTCACCCCCAAGCTACAGAACACAACTATCCCAAACTACAGAACACAGACAATTCTGAAATTTATATCCCAAACTACAGATTTCCACATATCACCTTCAAACTAGTACTGTGGAGGTTATTAGAGGGTGTGGAGTCTCCTGCTCTGGAGACTTTCTAACCCCACCTGAACGCGTTCCTGTGTGGCTGCCCTGGGCGCCCCTGCTCTGGCAGGGGGTTGGACTGGATGATCTCTAGAGGTCCCTTCCAACCCCCAACGTTGCATGATTCTATGATTTCTTTCCAGAGATACGCTCACAGGGGGCATTTCATACTTTTCTCCCTCTCTGCATGGTAGGGGCTGGCAGCAGAGCCAGCCTTACTTCTGTTTCTTGTAGATACGCCACAGGTGCTGCTGCTACTTGACAGACACACCCAAATCTGGGATTACATTTTGATTTTTATTGAAATACAAAAAGTGCAAACGGTGAAATATAAGAACGGTGCAGGTTAGAAGGAATTAATGTGAACCGTGAAAACCCCAGCCTTGCACCTGATGAACATCAACAGAAAAGGAGGCAGGCAACACCAGAAACAAAAGCAAAGCCAAAACTTTTGTAGAGGAGCCTCCAGGCATAAAGGAGGAAATAGGGACCAAACAGGTCCTTAGCTCTCTCTCGAATTAGCAAACATTGTCACAAGGCATCTGGGTGGCCCCAGCCGCTCCTGCACCACCCAAAAGCTCTGGTGTCAGCAGGTAGCTTGGGCCAGGGAGCAGGGAGAGGCGGTTAAGACAGCAGGAGGCTTAGCAGAGAATAGTTCAGCTGCTAAAAAGCAGAGGGTCGAAGTAGAAGTACCCTCACCGTGAGAAATGGCTAAAAGCTAACCTGAAAAGACAAGCCAGGGAAGAGACCCTTGGACAGCTCTACAGCAGGGAGAGAACGGACAGAGACCAGCACCCTTATCAGAGACTGCCCCCCCACCTGTAAATGGCAGAGAAACCCAGCCCAGCCAGCAGCCCAGCTGTGTGAGGCTGACCAGGTGAGGAGGGAACTCAACCCCCTGGGCTCGGCAGAGGAAGGCTCTGGTGGGCAGGCACCTGGTGCGGGCTGCAGGCAGGCCCAGGCCAGCTCCTTGTGCAAGTCGCAGGAGGGGTATTTCAATACAAGGCATACAGGGAAGAAGATTGCAGAAGCAAAAGCAACCCTGGTTGCTGTATCTGCTCCAGGGCCCCTCAACAGCCCCAGCATGAGGCGCAGCAGAGGAAAGTGGATATTTACACTGGGTCCCTTCCAGGATTTGCAAGCACTTTCCCACCACGAGCAGTAGCAGCTTCCTGAACACCCTCCAAATCTGCTCCCTGCAGGCACTGAACTGGAGCAGGCTTTTATCCCTGCCTGCAGGGGATGCACCAACCTCCATTTTGTTAAAAAAGGAAACTATTTCAAAAATTCACTAAAAAAAAGACACAAAACCCCAAACACAAGCACCCAGTGAACATACAGCAGCAATCCCTGCTCTCCCTCTGCAAAGGAGCTAAGCTATCCCAGCACTGCTCCTCTCACCACTGGGCAGGGTGCTCTGCAAACATGCCACCCTCCGCAGGGCCAAAGACTCGTGCGGCTTTTCCCATTCCAAGTTGGCAACCTTGGGCTTGTTTGTCCCAGGAGAATTTAGCTGGGTTTGCCTTTTTTCTAGGGGCATGTGAGCGAGGCCACTGTCAGCTGCAGAGAGAGTCAGAGCACCAAGTCTCACCCCCTACCACTGCCTGCCCAGAGCAGGGTGTCTGCAGGAGGGCTGCAAGGGGCTCCCTCAGCCTCCACACTCCTGGGCTGTGCAGAAAGCCTTGCCTCATGAACGCTGGGCCAAGCACACCTCTCTCCACGCTGTCCATCCCTGGAGATCACTCATCCACAGCACATCAACCCCGCTAACTTACTCTAACAGAGATCACAGGTGAATTAGGAGCCGATTACCTCTGCCTCCAAAACAATTATTTACTTACTGCTGTGAACTGTTAAGATTGAAACAATTCATATCCCAGCCAAACAGGGCAGACTCTTGGGAGACTAAGCAGCCTTGTCGCCTCCGTAAGGCAAACCCCCGGTATCTAGAAGGGATCAGAACCAGCCCTCACCTAGAACATCTCTTGCTCTAGCCTTAGTAATGTTCAGTTTCTTGCTTACTGTTCCCACTCACATGCTGAGCCTCCTCCAAGCCAGCTGGCTAGACCTGCGCCGCCCTGCAGAGCTGCCTGTTTGCACGAATCCCCGTTGCAGAGCTTAGCAAAAAAGAGCAGTGTCCATAATTCCTGCAGCAGATGACAGTTATTTTGATTGGAACTGGAGGACTGACCTTTGGTCAGTGTTTAAAGGCAGGCTAAAATACGAAAAAGCAAGTTCTATTTAGCAACCAGTAGCTTTTTAAAAATTAGTTCTGCTTGGTCCAGAAGATCTGCCTCTGTGGCCAGATGCAGCAGGGAGCACTGGCCCAGGCACACAGGGCACCAGATGCCGATGTGACACACCAGTGAAGTAAGGCTAGAAGCTCCCTACTAGCATCCCGACAGGCCCGGGCTCAGGAGAGGGAACTTTTACCTCAGGTAACGCAAATGCTGCAACCCAAAGCCATAGTGATGCCCTAACAGCATTGCAGCTGCTTTGGGAGGATGCCAGGCCTGCCCCATTCTGAGCCTGCCTTGGGGACAAACCTCTCTGCAGCCATGCCCGGGGCACACACAATGCATCCGACCAGGCTTCCACGATAGGATGGAACGAAGGTATGAACCCAGGAGGAGACGGGGCAAAGGCGGTCGGCACGGAATAGCTGTTCCGTCACAGCTTTGGCACGTGAGCGCTCAGCACTTGGATGGTAATTTGTAATCCAGGCCTTGTGCACTCCGGGGTGAGGGTTAGCCCCAGTTCCTCGACCTTCGCTCAAGGCCACGCTGTCTGTCACGCTACGCTGGGGAAAGTTCTGCTCAGAAAGACAAGTGGCCAAGGCAGCCTGTGCCAGCCAGCACAGATACATGTGCCTGACAGAGAAGAAGAGGCTGTGTGCTGCCGCCCCAGGGAGAGGCAGTGATCCTCATAGTGTTAGCAGTGCAGTGCCACCAGGGCACTTGCTCCCTGCCATTGAGACTCACCAGCTGTCAAAGGGTCCCCAGCCAGATCTGGCATGAACCTTCCCAGCTGGGCTGGAGATGCTGCTGGAGGGACCAAAAGGCCTCAGGTGAGTAACTATGGGAGGCACCTCACCCACCTTGGAGTGGGCCACCCCAGAGGGGTTTGGGCTAAATCCAGCTTGCACGTATTGGAGTCTGACAGGTAATACAGCCCACGTGCCATGAGCCTGTACTTCACTTGCCTGCCAAAAGCTGGGCATTGAGTGGTGTTGGCAAGTGTAGGACATGCTGCTACCTAAAGCACAAGGGCTGTCCCACTGCCTTCCCTGCTTTAGGTGCCTCTGGGGAAAGGCAGGACGCACGTTCAGTGTCGAGAAGTGGCACTTGCAGCAAGAATGTCTCTGCCACAAAACCCAAGAAATCTGCCCTAGCCCAGGCAGCCCAGCTGAGGCGAAGGGGGTGGGCTGGGGCTATTGGGAGCTTAAACAAAAAAGATCTCTGCTGAGGAAGGGGCCAGGAGGGAAGAAAAACTGCATGTGAGGGAAGGAGGAAAGGAAGGCAGGTCATCTGGTGGGGCAGCAGACTGGTGATGAGCCCTGGAGAGCTGCACAGACTGGCACGTGGGTTAGGACTCCACTCGTGGCAGCTGGGAGACCAGCTCCCTTTCCCATGTGGAGCAGCAGGTCTCCTGGCCACTTACACACTTTCTCCACCATCTCCACAGCCCTCCCTCTGCTCATCACCCAGAGGATCAACAGTCCCTTTGCACTGGAGACAGCTTGGTCACAGCTCCAACACAAGGTGGGAAAGAAGGTGGGAAGGTGGGCACAGTGTGCTGGTGTGGGCTGGCCTGGATTCAGGCCTCCACATCCTCAAAGAGCTCCTTCTGGTGGTCCAGCAGGAACTTGGTAAAGGTGTTGATGGGGTTGATGGCTTTTAGGGTGATGGCTACATCCTTGGCCCACAGCAGATTTGGGCCGAACACAACGGCCAGGTTGGTGTTTGTCATCTTGTTTCTGTCACTGTGAGCAGAGACCTATATGGGAAGGAAAGGGACCATTGTGAATCCTACAGAACAACACAACAGCTGCCCTCTGTCATCAACAAAGCCAGAACTGACAAGGGCAAAGAGGCGGAGGAAGAGAGAAGCTGAACATCTAATGCCAGAAGATGGATGGCGTAAATACATATAACATCTAGCATTCAGGAGATGAGGAGCAGTATCTTCCACTTGCCACTATGGCTTAACCACCAAGCCATATTACAAGAAGACCAAAAGCACTGTCAGACAGTATTTCTACAGTCCAGACCACCACTCAAAACAAAATTATATTCCCTCTTGCCAGAATAGCCTTGCAGTGATTTCCCTGGCAGCAGAAAGTTCTGTAGGGTGGATCTGAGAACTCCCTTCTAATCTAATCTTCTACTCAGATATTCTGCAGTTGTACCTCCATCCTAGGGAGCTTCCAACCTCGCTGGTACAGACCATACAGGCTTAAAGCCTGCCTGCACCTCTCAGCAGTATGAGAATCAACTGCTTAGGCTAGTTCTTCATGATAATGGGTGATCTCTGTATAACAAGAACATAAGGTAAACCAAGGCAATTTCCTAGCTTGAGACTCATTTCCTTTCAAAGGGAAAGAGGGAGCAGGCAGTCAAAAAGCTGATGCAAGACACCAGCAACTGAACTAGAATATGACTGCCCACCTTTGGAGCAACTCACCTGCACCAGAAAGGCTGTCAGTAAACGGAGCACTTGGTAGTTTTCTTCTGGCAGAGTCTGGAGTGTTTTGCGAACAACATCCACACGATTCACCTCCTCCACACCTAGAAATCAAGAGAGACAGGACAAGCAGGTCCACGGGGAACCCTCAGCACCCACCCTGCTGAAAGCCCTGTTTGCAGTCACAGGGCATCCCACGCAGGACTGCCCCCAGTGCAACATTCAGGGAGCAGCACACATTTGTTTTAACTCACTCTGGAAGCTGACAACATGGCTATAGAGGCCAAAAGTGAGGAGGGGCTCAGGTAGCTCCCTCAAGAAGGTCTTGAGAATCACAGCAGGGAGGTGGACATCTTCATACTGCTGGAAATCTACAGGCACACCTGAGAAAGTAGAGCAGAGTCTCAGTGCTCACTAGCCAAAGGAGGAGCTCCTCCCAATAAAGAATGGGGCATGGTAGCCAGAGCCCAGAACTAGGGAAGCAGTATTTTAAAGAACACAAACTGGGTACTAAAGCATTACATCTTCTAGCAGAGTGGAAATACGTGTCCCTAAAGCATACGCAAAGCACTGCTGAATCCAGCACTACTACATCTTTAGAAGTCATCAAATGACCAAGCCTCTTCCTGGTCATCTTCAGTCCCTCCATTACAACCAGTCTAAGATGGTAGATCTCACCCTAAGAAATGGGGAAACTTTCAGGAAGGAAAAGGGCAGCAAAGGGAACGTGAGCAGGAAGGAATATGCTTTCCACACAGCAGAAGTATCAGACCCTTCTCCCTTGCAACTCAGGTCATACCCTGATGGGGCCTCACCTAGAGGCCTGTCTAAGGAGGAGAGAGGCTGTCATGGACTAGTTCCAACACAGTTCCAGCTGGACAGCAGTAGTTAGGGAATGAGAAGGACTCTGCTAAGTTTGGGCACTTACCCATGTTGTATTTTTGCTGGACCTCCCTGACCACCTGTGTATTTGCTGATCTCCTGAAAATGCCCTCTGTAGCAAGAGCTGTGAAGTGAGAGCAGATGGAGAAGAAAGATCAGCCATGTGAGAGTATAAATTCTAGTCTTAACAATCACAAATCCACGCTGTGGAACATTCAGATAGATGTTAGCAAGTACCTTTATAGAGTATGGTGATTCTTTCCGCTTCCACTACAAGGCTAAGGATACAAGGAGTATTTTGCTGCTCGTATACAAGTAGGAGTACAGAAGGTCTCCTAAGCCCTGCACAATCTCTCCTGAAGGCTAACTCGCCTAGTTCAGACCTTTACACATTATTCTAGACTGCTGTTCTTTATCTTATCACACTCTGGATGGGAACTTGGGTGGAGAAGAGGCCACTGACATGGAATTAAGAGGGGCTGCAGCTTCCCCTGAACACTTACCATGCTCCTGCAAATGAGCGATGGTGTCTCTGACCACCAGAGGAACAGGAGACTGATCAGGGCTCTTCTCCCTGAGACTGTGGGAAGAAACAAAAGGTTACAAATGACTGGTCCCCTCTGTCCTGCAGGCAGCCCCTGAATCTTGAATTTGCCCACACAAGCTCTACCACATAGGGTCTTGCTATCCCATTCCCTGGTTTGGCCATTATTCCAGCCTTCTCTCTTCTTCACTCATCATGCTGCATCGCTCACTGGAGTGAGTATGAGCTCATTACTACACAACAGGAATATTTTTTATCTTCTGTAAAAATCATACCTTGTAGATGTCAGGGCAAAGGTGTTCCCAGAAAGCAAGGCTGCTAGCTATTAATTGGGTGAAAAGGGCTAAGCTTTCTTTTTCCTTCTCCTTAAGAGTATGTTGGGTTTATGTCTGTTGAGTTTTGGTAGCAGTGAGGGGCTACAGGGGTGGCCCCTGTAGAAAGCTTCTAGAAGCTCCCTTGGCTACAAGTCAGACCCACCTCTGGCCAAGGCCAACCAGTCAGCAAGTGGAAGCACCTCTGCAATAACATATTTAAGAGGGGCAAAAGCTGCTGGGCAACTTTGTTTTGGAGAGGAGGATGTGAGAGGAACAACCATGCAGGTCCAAAAGTCAGTGACGATGGAAGGGGGAGAAGTGTGCTGGAGTAAAAATTCCCCTGCAGCACCCCTTGAGATAGCAGGCTGACCCCCTGCAGCCCATGGAGGTTAACGGTGGAGCCAGATGCCCACCTGCAGCCCACGGAGGACCTTACACCAGAGCAGGCAACTATGGCCAAAGAAAGCTGCGACTCCAAGGGAAGCTCATACTGGAACAGTCCATCCCTGGGAGGACTGGGCCTTGCAGAAGGGATCCACGCTGGAGCTCTCTGTGAGGAGCTGCAGCCCTGTGGGAAGGACTCACGGAGCAGAAATTTGTGGAGTAGTCTCCCCTTGGAGGGACGCCACCTTGGAGCAGGGGAGGACTGTGAGGAGTCCTCCAGAGGAAGAGGAAGGAGTGGCTGAGACAGCATGTGAGGGATCGACTACAACCCCCATTCTCCGACTCCGGTGCCGCTGCAGGGCAGCAGGCGGAGTATCAGGAGCCCAGGAAGAAGGGAGGGGTAGGGGAAAGATGTTTTTAAAGATCTGGTTGTATTTCTCATTATCCTGCTCTGATTTGGCTGGTAAATTGGTGGAGGGTTTGTTGTTCAAATTAAATTCATTTTTTCTCCCCCCAAGTCAAAGTTGGCCTTTTGCCTGTGACCCTAACTGGCTAGCGAGCCCTCCCAGTCGTTACTCTCGACCTGTGAGCCTTTGTCATATTTTCTCTTCTCCAGCCCACTGAGGGAGGACAGGAAAGGGTGAGCGAGCAGTTACGTGGTGTTTAGTTGCCGGCTGGGTGGGTCTAAACCACAACAAGTATCAAGGCCAGAAAGAAGCTGACACGTGAGAGAATTAGATATGGGATAAGTTTACCAACACCACTCCTGTAACGGAAGATATATGAACCCAATGGCTTGGGTGATGCCCTAGTGATGCTGAGGTGCTGACTGCCACCCTCACATTCAGCTGTCTGTACCACTTAGCAACGCAAAGCTCTTCAGGCTACTAACAAGGCTCAGGCACACAGCACCACGGGGACTGCATTTGGAAACGTTGTGTTAAAAGCTGGGGAATGCACTCCCAGATTGCTTCAGAGGATCCATCTGGCCACGCAGTACTGGCCCCTCCTCATTCCCTGGGGATGCAAAATCTCACTCAAAGTTAAAAATACCTTCAACACTCAGCCAGTATCACTAGCCCTTGCCAGTGTCTGTGTTTGCCTGTGTCACTGTACAGGAATGGGGAGAGGGAATCTGTAAAAGGGTGAACAGAAGTGCTTTTAAAATAGAATTTATGATAGGGGAAAAAAAAAGAAATAGATCTGCATCAGGAGTCAATCAAAACAGCATAGCCCTAAAGACACCTCCATCAGCCTCCTACAGACTTCCTTTGCTTAAAGGAAGTTTCTAGGGGCACAAAGCCATTCCCATGGCCCTTATTTTGCCCTTCCCTTAGCAAGTCTTAGCTGCAGAAACAAACAGTCTAGTAAGGGAATCATGAGCACAGAACTGAACTGAGTTAGTCAGCATCTGGACACGTGCACCAAGTTCCTCAGAAGAATGATTAAAGCTTTGTACTAAGTTTGACCTGCAAGAAATTTTACAGCCACTTCTGCTGCTGTTCAGTTGTTAAGTACAGTGGCCTCTTATCAAGTCGGGGCAAAAGCAATACAATCCAGAGATACTCACTGCTGGAGCGAGACTCCAAACTGCTGGTTTGGCAGTGGTGGGCGCGGAGGGGTTGGTTTCTGGGGCACTTGTGAAGGTTTCTGCAGAGATCTCAGGTATTCATCGTATCTGTGGCAAAACACAGGACTAGTAAAAAGCCACTCCATCTCCTAGGAAAAAACACGAACCTAGCACAGCACATCACCCACTGGTAACAGCTCCAGCCTAGCATGGTTGATTCCACCTATGGAAAAACAGGACAGGCAGCTCTGGAGCAGAGAGGCAACAAGAGCAAACATCTGGTTGCCAGGAAAAAAGCAGAGATAAAAGAATATCTATGTGGAATCAGGAGTTGGAGTAGCTGAGGATGACAGACAGCATGGGCAGGAGGCCAGGACAGCACTGGTTGTGATGAGATAGTTGCATGTGTGCGTGAGGGACAGGGAATCAGTGTCGTAGGACTGAGATTGTGGCAACTTTGGGAAGCCTCAAAGACAAGCTGAACTGTGCAGAGAGAGCAAAGCAGGTGCCCAGATGCAGCAGATGCACATCACGAGCTCCAGGTCAGTGTGGAAGTCGGCAGCTTGCAGAAAGCCCCCGAGGGGTGAGTGGGAGAGGCGGGACTGGTGCTCCACTGGAGAGAATTTTTAACTCAAGGACAGGCTGGGAACAGGGGCCAAGGATGCACAGAAAGGAGAGAAACAACAGTCTCTACGGCAGTTGGTCACTACTCCTTCCAAAATCACCCCGCCCGAGTGGAACAATCTCTTCCTCTCAAAGAGCCCTGTGGTAATGGCAAACAGGCAGTGTTCTCACTTCAGCACTTGACTTGGGATCCCCAGCTGTTCCAGCTTCACATACTCCTCCAGCTCACTAAGGAAGTTCACATAAAAAATCTTTCGTCCAAACTTAAAGCTGAAAAACAAGAGAAAAGCAGGTACATGAGGAATCAGGAAATCCAGTATCAGAACAGATTTCTTCCAGGCAAGGAGGGCAGAGGTCTGCGGGAGACATCCATGGGTCAAAGGTGCAGGTACAGCTGCACGCCAGAGAAGTCACCCACATGGATCTCCATAGATTTTATTAGGAGATACCAAGACTTTCCAAGCTGCATTAGAAGCCCCAGCAGCAGCCGACTCCCTAAAATGCTGGATTTCTCCTTCCTAAATTCAGCAGTAGGTTAGAAGTTTTGTTTTCAATAATTTTACAGAGTTAGGATTTCAACATCAACACAACGAACTAAATATAATTTGGAGCAATTTTTTTCCTTTTTTCATTATTAGCAGAGCCTGCAACACTTCTATTTGGATGGATAGAAAGGAGTAGCACAGAGCTGCAGACTCTGTAGGTTCCCAAAGCAGTACGTCCCGTGTCTAAATATTTCTGAGCTCAGAAACAGAGAGAGCATAGGATGAGAGATTCCAGGGTAGGCTGGGCAGCCTGGGCTCATCTTGTGCCCCACTGAGAATGCTCCATCACAGAGCGAGGGTGTGGGTAAGCCTCCTACAGTGTTTCCTACCTGATCAGAGGTTTGAAGAGAATCAACAGGGTCTTGATGAACATGGTTGGATGCACAATATACAAGGCTTTGATGTTCTTCTTGTACCTGCCAAGAGAAGCCAAGTAAGGATGAGCTGCACTTTAAGCAGAGGAACCAACCTTTGCACCAGATGAAGGCATCCATGAAGGTGCTCCACTCCTTTGCACCGAGGCTCACCACTCCCCATGGCCTCTTCTCTCCCACGCTTTGCAGTTGTGTCAGGCCACTCAGCAGCCTAAGGGCATGCTCTACTGTTTTCCAAGATTCACCAAAAAAGCAGTGAACAGCCTCATCAGGAAGTAACAACCATATCTTGGGGCTGCATTCTGAGTTTGCTGCTTGTCTGTTGGCTTAAAGGATGTAACTACAGAGGGAGCTACTACAGAGGCTAGGAACTAACTACAGAAGGAGAATTATCCCGTAATTCAGCCTGTATTAAACAACAAAAGCAGCAGAAATATGTGACAGTAAATCATGATTACCAAGCTACAAGGAGGGTCTGGGGAAGATCTGCATTAGGCTACAGAACCACGTGTTCTATCCCTGCTTGCTGCACCCTTACTCACTTGCGATCAAACTCCCTGTAGGCATCCCGCAGCCAGCTCAGGGATGGCTTGTTCTCACTGGTCAGGCCATGGTGCAGGTACACCAGTGTGTAATCACTCTCCACATACTGGTCCAGTGTGAATTTCAGGTACCTGAGAAGAGACAACTGCTGAACTCACTTCATGTTCTGCCACAGAGAGGCTCTTCCTCCCTTTGGGACTCATTTTAGTGTGCCATAACGGAGGATTTGCATCCCCAGTAATGGAGGTAAGCACCTTGCGAGGACATGTCCAGTAAAGAAGCTACTGCAGATAGATCTGGCCCCAAAAATCCAACACCTGGGAAGTGTGTCAGGCTTACGAAGTTAACAGGAGCCTCCTAAGACACTACTCACCCTAGCAGTTTCACGTGATCAAGTTGATGACTTGGGGGCATCCGGCAGGCACTGAACAAAATGACTTTCCTCCCATATTTGTCATCACCTGTGGATGAATTGCCAAAGGTTACAGGGAGTTTAAGGACTACACGGTCATCTTGGCAGCAAGGGATAAACAGAGAATGGGAAACGGTTATAACAGGGCAGAAGTCTGGATTGCCACAGCTGCCAGCAAAGCCAAACCTGATTTTCAGCAGTTACCATGAGCCTAGTAGAGAAGCAAAAAACCTGAACCCCAAGGGCCTGGCAAGTCAACAATGCGAATGGAGAAGGAAATTCATGCTCCAGCCCTGAAAGAAAAGGAAGGATTGGAAGCCAGGATGCCTCAGGGCACATAGGGATGGAGGCCTCAGGTACAGAGCAGAGTGCTCAGAGCATTAATCTGCCCCGGACATTCCTGATGCACATGTGCCCAGAGAGGCACAGGGAAAACCGCCCCTCACAGGCACAATAACCACTCCTTCCACGCTGCACACAGTCCTAGACTTGTCACCTGGTGCATTTGGTTTTTGCTTTTGTGCTTGCATTTGTCCTGTGTGCAGAACAAAGCCATTTCATACCCTGGGAAGCATGAAATTCCTAAAAACAGGGCATTCCCAGCCACATGCCAGAGATGAGAAGCAAGCATCATAAGTCTCTTCCACAGATGGACCAGGGACGTCTGCTGGATTCTCTAGGAGGACTGCAGAGCAAGCTGTCCACTGCTTCCTAGATTTTCCATCCACAGAATTTATTTTTCCAACCTGAGCTGGAAGGAGCTGCAAAGTGTAGCACAACAAAGGATTCTGTGCAAAAACTCAGCAGACAACAGTCCCCATCACCCTGGAGCCAAATAACCCATAAAGCACCCTCGTCTCAGGGAGGACGCTCCCAGCCACCACCTGAGGCTTCGGAGGCAACACGCTAAGTGTTCCCCAAAGCAAGTCTTCAGCGGACTTCTGCCAGCAGAGATCTCAGCCCCTAGAACAAAACCCGAGCAGATGGGCGCGGACACCCTTAGCACACGTGCTAGAGCAAACAAAAGGTAAGTAAGAACCAGGGCACAAATCCTTTGGACACAAGGAGTTAAGAGGGAAAGTCTGGTCCTCTCCCAGACACGACACCCAATCCATTTTCATAGGGATGACTTGTTTTGTAGCACCACTGGAGATGAAATGGTTCCTTTAGTGTGAAGGGAAGTCTTCTCATCTTCCTTGCTACTCATCCTGCCCTAAGAATGATGTTTTCTTGTCAAGCAGAGGCAGCACAGAGCCTTCTCCCCTCCTCTCTGCCCTCTAGCACAATCTTCTCATACAGACTGCAGCACAGAAAAGCAGCAAGGATCGCTGCTTTTGCAGAATAGCCCTGCCATCATCATTCCTCTTGAAAGATATCCTTTGCCCCCCCAAATTGCTTTAAAATATTCAGAGCATGGAGCCATTTTCTCATCTTCGCATGGGCTCTGGCCCTCAAACACCACTTGGTTACAACTGCTGTGCAGGAACTGAGATCTCAAACTAAACCTGAGAACATCAAACCTGAGGTTCCTGGGAACACTGCCTGTTAACAAGAGATGACCACCTGGTGCTGCCAATGGCAGCCAGGGAACACACACACACCAGCCGCGACATTTAGATGCCACTAACCCTCTTTTACACCCATCCTGGACTGAAGAACAGATTGTCTTCCTACTTGGTCACTTGTATTTTTCCCTCACAAATCCCATTTTCAAGTCACCAGACAAGACAAGAGACAGAATTTACTGATGCACACAAGCCAGAACCTCTACAAAAGCTCGGGACACTGAGGCAGCACTAGGTACAGGCCAGGAAAGGGGTGGCAAAGGCCATCACATTAACATACACATGCGAAGGCGAGGGGCAATCGGGAAGGATGCATGACCCAAAATGCAGGACTAGGAGAGAGTGATGCAAGGCTCACCTGGAACAACCCGATACAGTCACAGCCAGGCCACGAGACCAACATCGCATTGCAAATCCCACGGTAGCCCACTCTCTGCCTAGCCCAGAGTTTCTTGGGAGCTTGCTAAGAGCTTTAGGGCTGGGTCTAATGCCCATGAGTTGTCTATAAAAGAAAGGTGAAGGCTACAAAGTCCCAGGCAGGGATTATGACATATTGTGACTCTTCCCAGTGGTCTTGAGTCATTCCTATGTCTCCATCTGGAAGACAAAGGCTCTTGTTGGCACAGAGCAGCAAGAAATTGGTAGCACCTGAGAATCTGTTGAGTTTTGTAGTGGTGCAAGAACACAGACTACAGATCTTTGCAGATCATTGCTCTGTGCTAAAGTCAGAAAAGGTGCCAGATTCAGTCAGCTGAGAGGCTGCATTTCACAGCAGAGTCTGGTCTGAGGGCCAGAAGCAGACTGCAAGCTTGAACAAGGCAGGCCTTGGTTGTGAAGAACCGCAGTACAGCACCGTGTTCATGGGACGTCGTGGGTGGCCACACACTCAGCTCAGGGCACTGGGCACTGACTTCCAGACCTGACAAGTCCTTCATCCAGAATGACAAGAAAGCCTACAGCAGGGCTTATGTGAAGTCTAGAATGTCGTTCCTCAGTGAAAAGGTCTGGGATCACTGGTAAAGAAAGAACAGACAATCCATGATGATTCTGTCAAAGGGCTGATGACGTGTTTCCCTAGACTTGCAGGGCCCAGTACACCAAGAGATAATCCATAGTCCCCTGGATAACTGAAAAAAGGAGTGACCCGTTTTGCCTTCCAGATCAGGATGAATTTGTGCATGAGACCTACACAGGAACCAGCATGCCCATTGTTTAGTTCTGGGTTTCATGCCAGTTGCATCCCGCTGAGCTCAACCTGTCAACACAGCCACTTTCAAAACAACCAGCTGCCAGTCTTGTTTCCACCTGAGACATATCAGACCAGCCTCATTCCTCCAGACCTGACAAAATTCAAAATTCAGCATCAAACGTGAACAATCAGTTGTTCCAATTTATGCACAAGAACTAAAAAGCCCATTCCATGCACTCTTGCGTGCCGGAGGAAACTGCCTGCAGGTGGCCTCTCTGCCTCCCACCAAACAGATTCTTACCATGTCTGATCTTTCCCAGATGCTCCATCCCTTGTACCATCTGCTTTCCTCTTTGCAATAGTAATCTTTTATATCCAGGTCTTCACCCCTTGCTTGCAATTGCAGATAGCTAATGTTTCCACTGAACACAACTACAAACGATGAAGTAATCACTCAGCTTCTCTGGCTGTCTCCTGCTTCTTCTCAGATGAGGAATGCTCAATAGTCAACAACAAACCAGCAAAGAATCAATTATCAACCATCAGCACTCCCAGAGCACTCTAACACCGTGATCTAATACCTTCGTGAGTAAGTTCATAGATAAAAAATATTTTCAGTCCACACTGGAATTAAACTACCCTCCCTACAGGATGCAGTTCAGATATTTATTCTTCTTTTAACAAAGAGCAAGACAGCAGCCTCTCCAGGTAAGATAGCTTCTCATCTAAATAGATATTAACTTGTAGCACTGATGGACATACTAATTATCCTAAACATTGTTATGAGGCTTTTAAGGCCCAGACTCAATTTTCCCTCTCACCCAAAGAGCAGTGTTTCCAGTGCACTTCTGAGACAAGGAACATCTCCGCTGTGGTTCCAAGCCATCAGCGCAGGGACCATATTTCTAAAATGGCTGGAGTTTGAATACTGAGACTACTGGCTCAGATGGAAACCTGCAGCAATGCAAATGTATCAGAGCAGAAATTCACATCAAGGTAGCAGTACCGTCCTGCGACAAGACTCTCTGCTACACGAATCTGTACAGCCAACATGGAAAATACTTGACTTGCATGCTCCTGCTACGTATTTCCAGGTATTTCTCCTGAAACGTATCCGTTAACCTTTATGCCGTGACTGGAGGCTGTCACACTACTACTCCCTGCAGCCCAGGGACCCTGTCCATTCCTACCTTCTTCAGCAGGTACCCTTGGCTGAGGGCCCACCTCGGTGAAAGATTCATATGGAGATATCCTGTTACTCTGATACTGAGAGAACACAGATAAAATTTGCCACCAAAAACTAGTGTTACTGGTAAAACAGCCAAGTTAACAGAGTTCAGGGTCAAGGAGAGGACACCACTACCTAATTTTGAAACTTTGCTACACAAGTTTCACAAAGTCAAGGATGTTTATCAGAGCCATTGTCAGTAAAAAAGTTCTCTAATGTAATTTCACATTCCTGCCAAACCTATGGCACAGCTGGGTAGTGTTTAAGTATAGCAGATTTAACAGCTTGTTGAATTACAAAGGAAATTTAGCCCCTCAGGAAAAGAAGGTAAGGAGCTTTTTGTGGCATTTTCCACATAGATATTCCCAATATCCAAATACTGCCAGAATCATAAAGCCTTGCCAAGCGACTTAAGCTCTAACTGATACAAAACATATCAGAGGGTCAGATGACAGAATGTAAAATGGAAGGATGCCTGAGAGCACGGCAAATGGACGAGAAAAGTCCACCTAATGAGGCAGTGAGACTCAGCATTTCCATGGATTGTGTGAAGGTCTTGGCCTGCTCTTCAGAAACAATAGAAAGTATTTCACACCAAAAGAATTTTTCACGTACACTGAGAAGTGTGAAAACACCAGCAGCCAAATTCTTAAGGCTTGGGACTGAAGTCCAGTGAGCACAGAACAGTCTGGCACAGCCTGAGGCTAGAATGAGGAACCAGTTACCGAAACACAACATCTCTGCAGCCAAATGGAGGAGAAATAGGTAACAGTTGCTTTCAGCTGCAGAATCCAGTTTAAGTGCCAGCTGCTTAGCGTGTGGGCACAGCAGCAGATCGTACGAAGGAATGGGAAGCAATCCTAGGATGAACTTCCAAAGCAAACGTGACAGCGAGGTAAATCTGAGCTCAAACTGAACTGGTCCAAGGAGGCCACCACCATGACAGAAGAGGAATAAGATTTACACTGAGACCCAAGAGCCCCAAAGTGCCCAAAGTAAAGCCCACGCGCCAATTTGGCTGAAGTGATTCTGCTGTGCCTGAGGCAGAGGTGCAGCCCTCAGACGACAATTTTGTGCAGCCTTTGGACTCCTGAAAAGTTGCCAGTGCAGCCTAAGGCTGAGCAAAGTTTGGGCTCCCCTGAGACAGCCCAGCTACAGGACACGGTCATGCTAAAGGGATGCCATGATCTACAGTACCAAACGTTAGCGCCACAAAAAGTCTACCTACCTGGTTGGGCCTCATCAAGTGCACCCTGGTCTGGAGGAACAGAAACAAAGTTATAGCAAGCCAAGCTTTGCACCCTTTCCCAGAAAGTTAATACGGAGTACAAAGTCTCAGAGTCTAGCCAGGCTGCCACTGGGATGCACTCAGTTGCCGTCTTGCAGTAGGTCAAGCTCCTCCTAACTTCACTTTTCCCCCACGCTCCTATCTAAAGCAACTTTATCTAACAAGTAGAGGCAGCAAGAGCAACCCATGATTCCCAAATCTCTTGAAATACAGAATTCCTTAGAAACTCTCCATTCCCTTGACCTTGCATGTCAAAACATGGTGCACAAGCTGGGCTTGCTTCGGATGGGCCCAGTTCTACAGAAACAACTCGTCATTCCATATCATTCAAACACTCCTTAAAGGAAAAAAAAAAAAAGAGAAGAAGAAAAAAGTCAAAGACAGAAACTACATCCAAAAGCAACAGAAATGCAAGTATTCTGTATTAATGGAGCCAATAATAATGTACCATACTGGAAGGGAAAAGGACTCTTGTGATCAGAGACCTTTGCTGAGCCCATTAGCTACCGAAGACACGCTGCCACAGACTCTCAGCACAAGTTCTGTCTGCAATTTCTAGCTTTGCCTGCTTAGTGAAAAAACAGCTACTGGTGCTCCACGATTGATTTTACCTCCCCACATCAATCACCAACAGCAAATCATCAGCACTAGTTTCGAAGAGCCAGCCACAATGCTTTTCACGTCAGGTTTGGTACCAGATTCACCCCTGAAAAAGGATTCACTGCTGGAAGCGCAGCTTCAGTGTAGTAACACGCACGGAGGCACGCCCCCAGCTCTGCACCTTGCTTTCCCACTTCAATCTGTGCAGGTCTCACACACACTAGCAGCACGCCTCCTCTGCAAGGGCAGCCCTGCAGGCTGCCAATTAATTTTGTGAGGCAGCAGATTTCCTACAAAAACTAGCAGAAAGACGCTTTGAGCTTCAGCAAAGCTTTGCACTCACTGGGCAGGTATCACACAGCTTAAGTAAGCAGCGATGGGCCATTCTCTTGACAACCATTACAACTTCTAGCCTCCACAGAAGTGGAAAATTCATGTCAACCACATGTCAAGCCCCAGTTTTCTTATCCCAAAAGGAAGAAGACCAGTTATTCTGCCAAGCGAGAATGCTCATAGCTATGGGTTCGCATATTGACCATAAAGGCAAAACCAGTATTTTGGACTGGGCAGAAAAATGAGGAAGGAATACCTTGACAGAGAGCTGTCAAGAGTCCATCTCCAGAGACCTCCTTCAGACTCTTATTAACTGTCTGCCACATTCTTGCAATTCAGCCTCTACTGAAATTCCAGGCCTCACCCAAGGTTGCCTCAACCCCAAAGGAGACAGAAGCAGCACCTTTGCCATATAAGAATTAACTGGAGGACAGAGAAACTCTTTAACGTAACAAAAGTTCCCCAACAGCCCTCAACGAGAAGCCTGCATTTCCTCTGAACGCTATGTGAGGTGAGCAAGGAAAAATCCCACTCTTTGCAAAGTTGTTTGTAATCGAGCCGCCTCTGCTCCAACTTCTAGCCATGTATAAAGACAAATTTCTCTGCTCACGAAAAGAGGAATTCAGAGTCAAGAAGAGCACAACCAAGCAGACAGCTCTCCACAGCCTGTGTAAAACACTCCAGAAACACACACCTTAAGGCAGGTCTGAAAGGATAGGCAGAGCATCATCTCGTTCCTTCAGAGAAGCACTGAAACCAAAAACTTTCCCCAAACTAAAATATTCTGATTCATTCCCTTGAAACTGTGGCCTGGATGCCTTTGCTGCCATCTTCTTGTGACATCACCGTGTGGGACAGCAATGACACGTGTGCTTTTTCCCCATGGATAGCCTCTTCCAAGAAAAGCATGGGCCACAAAGGAGAGTCTCTGTGGAACCACTGTACTATTTTTACATGAAAAACAAAACAAAACCTCTTACTTTTCCAGCAAATTCTGCAAAACGTTTTTCAATTATTATTTTCCCTCATAAGACCAGATAGCCAGCATTTTCAAATCCAGCATGCCTTGAACTGAATCAGAAATTAAGATCAGCTAAAAAATGAGTGCTAACATTTTGTTATCAAAACTGGGATTTTAATAAGTTATTGACACCATGCACCCATCCTGCAAGAAGCAATTACTTCCCTGACCACACAGGATAATCTTGGGATCATGGAGTTCAGCCTGAGGATGGGAACCAGCCTCCTGCTTCTGTCTCAAAATAGCATCGTCATCCCAGAACACATTTCAGCGAAGGCAGGAACACAGTTAGGCATATGCTTTCTGCTCTGAAGTGCCGAACAGGGAAGGACACTGAAAAGAAAGCTCACAAAATCAGCAGAATGGACAAAACTACTCTTGATCTGCTGCCATTTGCCAATATTTACAAAAGAATCGGGGTGGAGCTGTTTTGTTCCAGGCTCAGCAGGGCAAATGTTCATTGCACCCGAGTGTCCTGACAAGCACAACTTGCGAGTAGAGCCAGATCCAAACAGATTCATATTAACCTGCCAGCGAGATTTTGACTCTCCGAGTTCCTTGTAATAGAATTTTTTCAGATTTTCCCAGACCGTTTGCTTCCAACAACAGCCTAGAGAACATTATTCTGTGTGATTCCCCAAACAGTTAATAATATTAATTATTGACTAAGGAAACTGAACAGCTTCACTGCACAGCCCAGATTACAGATTACAGCTCAGGCCCCTTGGATCAGCTTCATAAACTCTGCCTCACAGGAGATGAGCCACCAGTCTCAAAACCATGGGGCAGCAAATCCACTCTCTGTAGCTGTGCGATTACCTCTTCCAATGCCAAAAAAGGCACTGCACCACGTTCTGTGTGTGGGACCATCACAGGCTTTCAGATAAACCAGCTGCTGGTGAAAACTGGCCAGGAACAGGCAACAACAGAAACTTCTCCGAGATGCTTCTGTACTATAGTGAGACATGACAGGGACAGAGAACTCACTGCAAATACAAATTTAAACCAGGACAGGGAAGAGATTTCTTTCAGAATGCAGGCACACCTCCCAGCCAGCCATCATACCACCCCTTACTCCTTTCAGAAAGTTAAATAACTCTTCATTTGCTGTCCTAGACAACTTGCCAAATGGCTGCAATCCAAAAGCCACTGAGACACGCCTCCACTGGAGTGATACTCCGTTCAGGGAGCTTGGGAAAAAAATATCATGTTACTTTGGAACAGAAATCCCACAGAAAGACTGGTGCTTATGTCAGAAGACAGCACACAAAGTCTATCCTTGGTTTGAGCTGACATTCCAGTCTTATCGATGTCTCTGATCTAAACTCCCTGCTAAGCACTTAGTCTGAAGTGAACAACAGTATCACTTAACTCCCCACCTCCCAGAGTCCAGAAACACCAGTTATCTCTGCCATTTGCATTCCAAATATTCCAACTACCACGACTGAAATGCTGAAGTTCGCCTGTATGTCCCTTTCCAGCTTCAGTAGTAGATCATAGAATGGCCTAGGCTGGAAGGGACCTTAGAGATCACTGAATCCAACCTCCCTGTCATGGGCAGGGACGCCTCTCAGCTAGATCAGGCAACACATGGGGACTGAAAGGGCAAATCTACAAGAGATAAGGGCCCAAATGCTAAACACCTTGCTTGTCTGAGCAGCCACACAGGAAACAAAGGAAAAAAGTTTTGAGTTTGCCATTACCATTTTGCTCCCCAAAAGATGTAACATGAGAGGTTAGGAGAAAAAAAGCAGCCCAAGAATGATGTCAGGACAACTCTTACCAAGGTAAGAGTTGAGAATCTTCCCCCTCTGGTCAGACCCTACTGCAGAACCACCCAGAACCAGGAGGACACCAGCTCTTGTCTCTGCTTTGCTGCAAATTCACATGTGAGGCAAGGCACAGAGAAATGGCAATAGCAGGAGATGGCTACAGATAATCAAGGAGGAAGTGTGAATAAAGTCGCAAACGGTTGAAGAAGCACTTTAAAAAAAAAACAAAACCAAAACAAGGAACACAAGACAAACTAGGATTAACCTTTCCTCGGACTTACCACAGCAACCTAAAAATGCCCCCAAAACTCTTACAGAGATTCCATCAGTAAATGGCTGAGGATTAGTGTAATTAAAACAATATGGATCAGACAACCACACAGAGAAAATCCAAAGCTTGTGATCCTGAACAATCAGGTCTTTCCTTGCAGTGAGCCACTGGTCTATTCCTCCTATTTCAGATTTCTGTACATATTCTTTCTGGACAGGATGGCAAGCTCTTGGCCGTTTAGATATAAGAGAGCTGCCCCAGCTACTGTGGTTACTCAGTCTGCTGAGGACCTTGCAGCTGTACTGCATAATTAGGTTATTTCTGTGACATTATCATGCAAAAACCGTATTATAGTCAAGGGACATATCTAAAACAATTCACCAAAAGCAACAAAGCCCCGCTAATAATATAATCTAGACAATTAGAGCCAAGAAGTAATGCAAGTTTAACCAAGGACAACAGAAAATTACACACATTGCAAACATTCGAGAAGTCTGGTGCTCCCTTTGTGATGCCAGCTGTCATTGTCACTTGGGCCTGGCATATAGCAGATGACCCCACAGCCCCATTAGAAAGACCCTTCCTCAGCCCACCTGCAAAGACATCAAAGGAGAAACCAGAAAGACAACTACCTGCTACTTCCACAATGTGGTGCCTGGCGATGTCGTAGTAGGGATCATCCCACTGCAGGTGAGTGACCGGCTCGGGGGAGCTCTTGGAGTCTTCTGCACAAAATACAATGAACAGGCAACTAGAAAAAGGGATCTGGAGTCCCTTGGTGAGGGATACAGTAGAGATATAGGAATGAGGAAAAATGTCTTTTCAACATGGGAGGGACTAATGTATTCATCTGTCCAGCTCAGACACCATCTTTGAATTTCTGAATGGGCAAGAGCAGCAATGACTTCAGAAGAGACCTGTCAGTCCTATGAGGTCCATATGTGTCCTTCAACTGTACATTCACAACAATCAAAATCCAAGTGCCAAGGGCACCATTGTGGCGTTTTAGAGCAGGAGGATCTTAACATTGTCCCTTGATGGATGAGCATCCCTCTCTGGGCAGCAGTCCACAGCACAGGATTTCAGAGCAACTCAGATCTCCAGCCCCAGATCCCACATGAAAGTTCAAGTCCCTTCCACTCAGGAAGACCACACTATCCTGCACGAGACCATAACAGAGGACACTCAAGGACTTAAAGCATGTCTGTACTGTCAGCACCAAAGTGCAGAAGCCACAGGACTAAGAACAATACATTTACATCATCTGGCTCTGAGCTTTTTAGTGCTGTTCAACAGCAGGGCTAAATCACTTGGGTGTGGTGCAAGATTATAAAGCTTTCAAAGCTCTCTTGAATATGTAGATATGACCACGATGCTGCAAAACAAACAATTCATTTCTGGTCTAAAGCCAGATCCCAAGCAAGCAGGATACTTACCTGATGTGGGAAAAGCAGGGTCTTCGTCTGCTGGCCAGCTCTTATCGTCTATGGAGGCCAGTTTGAGCTGGCTGAGGGACTGGTTGGTATCATCCAAGTTCAGGTCATCCTGAAGCTCCGAGAGTGGGTCTGTAGCCATGGTCCCCAACTAATTCAGTTTATTTTGCAGCACCTAAAACGAAGACTGCAGAGATTGCTAGGTTAGACACAGAGGTCACAAGTTTACCTCCCCACAGAGGCTCTTACTCTTCTCAGATTCTCCCCAAATCCTCCCTTATTTTATCCAGAGATACTTCCCCTCCCCCTTAACACAGGCAGGAACTCCTCCTCTTCTTGAACCCAGGAGCACTGACACATGATTCTTTCCTCCGCTAATTGCTACCAAAAGGCCATCAGGACCCTGTACCAGCCTACTCAGGGAGTCTCTGCTTGACCACAGCTCTGTAGAGAGCGGCTTCTCTCCAGAAACAGAAGTAGCAGCAAGATGCTGAGGAAGGCAAGAGGCTACACCAGTCCCTGCCTGATACACCCACTGTATTAGCTCTGAGCTCCCCCTCCCTCCAAAGGGCTGGCACAAAGCCCAGCTGTTTCCACAGCTGGCCAAGTGCTGGAAGCTTTCCCAGGAATCACCCCTCCTTTTCCCCATAAGGAAGGGCCAGAGCTCTCAACAACACTGAAGAGGGTGCTTCAGTCTGTTGGGATGTGAACACAGAAGCAAACAACTTCTTAAAACAGAATTTCATAGGCTGAGGTAATAAGACTGAGAGAACGATACACATGGAACCCTCATCTCCTTTCAGCATCACCCAAAAATGCTTTCACCTACATGACAGCAAACAGCAAGGAATCACCTCTTTAATTAAAGCCATATTGCTAGAACGAGTATTTTTCACCAAGCATGTCGTAACATTGAGGAGACCAAGGAAATAAGAGGGTCCAACAAACAGACAGCTCAGTGCTTTTGAGAAATATTTGCAAGCAGCGGCACTCTCACCTGGAGCAGAAGATATATCAAACCCCAGACTGAGGTGGTGCAGCATACAGCACCTTTGACGGTCACCAATTCTTAGGGACAACCCCTAGGAAGTAGCTGTTATCATCTGAAGCCAGTGTCTTGCAAGTAAGCAAGGAAACAGTAACTCAGCGGCCAACAGGCAGCAAGCCAAGAGGAACTGTAGCAAAACAAAAAGACACCTTGCATCACCAAGATTCTCTGTAACACCGTTTCTTGGACAGGCTTGTGCTTGTTTTGAATTACCACAAGAGTAAAGGGTTCAATGATCTGAGGAGGCGCACGGCCTTTGTGCAGAATGATTGTGTATCCAGAGAAGATGATGGGACAGTTACTTGGATGCGAGCACAGAGGACAAAATCTGTGAGAGGCAGAGCACCAGGAGGTGTCACATCCACGTTCAGGGGCAACACTCAAGCCTGGGGATGCAGTTTGAGAGTACAGGAAATCAGATACTCAGTGTTCGTCCCCCCCTTCTGTCTGGAGGACTCTGGACTTCTTGTCCTCCCTTATCTTCCACTCGCCAGTTTACAACCAGTTTTAACCTCTCTGGTGCTCCCAAAGGGCTGGGAGCTGTTGCTAAGCAAATGAAGTAAGTTTCCCGAAAAACAAAAGAAGAAGACATGTAAGTGCAGCGGATCAGCAAGGCGGCACTGTAAACACACAGGGTCTGACCACTGCGGCCAGAGGCCCAAACAGAATTATTCCCTGCCCTCCAGACAGGAAAGCGCAGACAGCTGGGAGAGCTACCTGACCGCCTCTGAAGGGACAAGGAACAAGAAATCAGTTCCCTTGCACCGTGAGCTCATGCTGGAACCACGCAGCAGTGGAGCCAAGGGACAAGGGCTCCCCATCCCTAGCAGCTGATCTGCATTTTGTGGTAATGCCAGGCACCAACTCTTACAACTCGGTGTGCTTCAAGCATTCCCCAGCGCAGCTCACTATCTCCACAACCCAGCAAGGCGTGCTGAGGAAGCATCCACAGCCCCCCAGGGCAGCCCCTCAGCATTCCCAGCTCCCAGAGACTTCCTGACCCTGGCGAGGACACAGGACCTACACTCAACTGCTGCCATCCACTGCGGTGCTTTTCATACAACAACCTTGGGGATGCCCTGTAGCAACCGTGACCCCAAAGCGAGGTCCTGACTGTGCTTGGGGATACAAATCCAAATCTTCCCACAGAGCAGTGACAGTACTGTCACAGGGCCAGAAAGGCACCAAGTGTCCTCGCTGTCCCTATACAGGTTATGACTTGGCTTCACAGTCAACTTCCAACGCCTGATCAGAAGCAGAAGAGCTGGTTATTAGACAGTGCTGAGGGACTTCCCCTTAGGCATAAAATTAATCCTAGCCTGGCACCATGTGGAAGAAGAAAGTTGCCAGTAGTATCCTTGCAGTTCTGCGCTGGAAAAAAGAGCCCGGTGGATAGCACTCTTGCCAAAACCTTCCCCGCCCCTTGGAAAGGCAGACCAGACTTCCCAGGTACCTCCAAAAGCTTTTCACAGCCAGGCAGGCAGCTCCATTCCTTGGCTCTAGGATAGTGCTTCGTGGTAGAAATGTTAATGTAAGGAAGATCCAGAGCAGCAGACCTCTTAGATTTCGGGTTCTTCTTGTGAACCAGACTGCAGCTCCCAGAGAGTCCCTGAAGATTTTTTGCAGAATCTTCCCCAGCCCATTCCCAACAGCGCAAAAGACAGCATAGGGTCTCACCTCAGGTAACCCTAGTAGAGAAATCGAATCTTCTAAATGCCTGGGAACTAGTAGGCACTGAAAAGGAGAGACCTGGAGATAGGATGTAAGAAACTACTTGCGGATCTTAGTTCAAGGCACACGTTGCACTTCCTGGCAGGGCAGCTGCATGAGACTTTTTCCTACATACTCAAAAATGACCCATCAGCAGGACCTGTCACTGAACAGAAAATCCATCTCTATCAGTATATGGGTGAAATGGTTGTCAAAAAACAGCATCTCATTGAACTTAAAAAAAATATTAAGAACCCCACTTGTTTCAGATAAATTGTCAAGTCAAGCTCCAAGCAATACACACTGCCTAGCCAATCATAAGGTAAGAAAAATGACACATCTGTATTAAAAAAGTTAAGATCCTAGTCAAACATTCAAAAACTAAAGAACCACACTTGACATCAGAAGGGTTTACTTACTGCCAGGCTCTAAAGAGCTAATTGTTTCCATTCTTCCAAGCATTTACATTTGTTTCCTGCATCTACACTGACTGACTCGAACACTTGCTGTCTAATAAAAATTGACATTCTCGATCCCAGAGAGATGTGCTGGAGAACAGCACGGTCTGATGAAGGAGGAAAAAACTCAGCCATTTAAAATATAATTTTCACACAGATTCTGAGCTCGATATTCCTTATGCAAGATCGCACCAGAATTTACCCAAGGAGGACATTTCACTTACACCTATGAAGTATCAGTAGCTGCTGTTGACATAGACTGTTTTTTTTCTGCAATTCCAGTTTCCATCACTTATTTCTAAGCTGCACCTCCTCAGTAGTTTTCCTGTTTTTCTAACAGATGTACTATTAACTCTAAAGTAGACCTAACATATCAAAATACATCTGCGAATGCATTACCACACCCTGGAGCTGTACTCACCCACAATAAAGAACCGTGAAAGCCAAGCAGCCTCTTCTTCCCCACCTGATTAACAAGCAATGCTCAGACCCCATGGGAGTCCCATTCTGGGGCGGCTGTATTATTTTTCTGACTCTGCTGCCATCTGCACCTCCTCTCAGTTTCACTTCATTTGCACAAATGTCTGTTCTTCTGTACACATCAGCCTGTGCACACAGGCTGCACTGTGCTGCAGCCTCAATACCAAGAATATTGCGAAAAAAGGGAAGCGGTTACTCAGCGGGAGACCTTCAAAACACTCACTCGCGTGAGTGAGTTCCAGGAGTGAGACTTACATCCAGCCCAAGTCATCGCTCACATCGAGACCAATGATGCCACCGAGAGCATCGCTAGCCCGGTACTACCCTGAGAGAGCCAGAGCAGCTTTGGGTGGTGACCAACTAACTCGGGACAGACCCACTGTTGCTCGGGGAACCTCTTTGGTCCTTCACTGTTGTAACAGCTTTTGAAACGAGCAGCCTTCCTCCCGCAGGCAGCTCAAACCCTTTGCTGAAGGGTGGAAATCCACCCCAGCGAGCAGTCAGCCTCCTCTCGGCGGGTCTCTGCGGCAAAGGAGCTGAGCTGGGCTTGAATATTGAATATTCCTGGGCTCCAACTTTCGCTGAGCCCACCCGTCG